TTCGTACCGCGTCCATCACCTGCTGGAAATGGCTAGACACTTGGACAGCTGCTCCCGGTTGGATTCTAAAAATAGAAATAGAAGAGTTTCTAATAATATTCTAATTGCAGCTAGCGTGGATTCTCCCCGATTCCCGTCGAAAGCCGACCGAAGCGAAGACGAGACGAGAAAATCAAAGAACCTTTCGTCGGCCGAACGGAACCATAACGAGTAACAGATAACTTTCTTCCCAGCTTTCGCCGGCGAACGTCCTACTGACTGATTCGACTTTTACCTCTTAGCACAGTTTCACTCCGTGCATACACGTCTGTCCGCGTGTACCACGTGTGCGTGTTTCGGGAAAAGTCCGGCGATAAAAGGAAAGGTGATAATGACTCGATCTCAACGATTTCTAATGTTCAGATTCACGCGGTTCGTTATTTAATTGGTATCTGTAGTTCTTATGGATTTTAGAAATATTTAATTTAGTTTAAACGAAGGAAAAAGCGTTCATGCTGAGATCACATTCTCCCCTCGAAAGAAAGTGATTCCTCGAGCGTAATTGCCGTCAGCGAAGTTGCATTTATTCGAAACATCGACGTGCAAAAATGCAGATAATTGTTTTCAAAATTTTTGATATCATTTTCGAAATTGATATCGGAAATATTTTATTTCGCAGATACTTACAGGCCAAGAAGAGCTGCCATTTTCTTTTCCATTAGGACAACGGCGTCTGCACCCCTTTGAATCATCACGTCGCAGAATAACCTTTTGGCACAGGGTGTATTGGTCCAATCGCCGTCGATATGAGCCACTTCGGCCACCTCGGCGTTCTCCAGATTCTGAAGAGTATCTTGCAACTCCTGATCGCTTTCAATGCTCCTCTTCTTCCGTTTCTCGTCTCTTCCGTTCATAGAATTTTCCACAGTTTCCCGGTCGTCTTGGACGACTAGAATATCGGAGCTCTTGTCGTTCTTTAAAGAGTCGTCTGATTTTCTTGGAATAAGAAATTCTGTGACGTCGATGTTACCTTCGCGAAGATCAATTTCTACAATTTCGCTGATAGAGTCAGCTCCTTTCCTTTGGAAACGTTTGTCTCTGATTAGATTCTTTAAATTACCTTCGGCTTGGAAAATGTCTAAATAATCGATACTCCGTTTCCTTCTCGACGTCGTTTCCCCAAAGCCTGATTTCGTGTCTAATTCCACCTCCCCCGTTTTCTGATTTCCCTCTACGATCACTAATCCATCCTGACTCGTCGCATCGTCCTTATTCTTCTCCATGAAATATACAGTCCCATCGTAACCTCGTGTCAATGAGTCACCATTCTCGGTCAATAAAGGGTCAGAGTTCAAAGCTCTTTGGTACTCGACTTCGGTTCCCGATCCATCGTCCGATCTTTTAAGAACGTCGACGTCTAAATATCTGCCAACGGCGACCGCTCCGATGCCGAGCGCAGCACCAGAAGCCATAAGTCCCAACGCCGGGATCAGAATACTCCCACCGGTAGCAACGGTGCCCATCTTGTCCTGAGCCTCCTTCCCATTAGACAGTCCTAAATTCTGAGAAATCTTATGCGTGGCTTCGACCAAAGGATCGATCACCGGCCTGGTGAACTGCGACACCTTCTCCACGCTGTTGGAAAATTGATTCTTCAAGTTCTCAGAGATTTTCACCCAAAACGGAGCGTCGCTCGGTCTCTTCAATCCATAGAAATGATGGTTAGGGTAATAATCCTTGGTGGTGTAAGTGTCGACGATATTCTTATCGTTCAACACGTATTTTTTCTTCTGTCTCTGTTCCGTGAACGAGTATTGGTTCTCCGGGAAATTGTCCGGGCGCCTCTTCTCGTTTTTAAGGATCTTCGCTGGCTGAACGCCCAGTTCCGGGTGGGCGTATTGAAGGACCGGCGCCCTGGCGCCTGGTTTCAATGCGACCGGTGCTATTTTCTGACTCTCCGGTGTATAAAGCTGTGAGACCGGGTAGACAGACACGCTTTCGGGATGCAGCATCCTTTTATGCGAGCTGCTCCGATAATTGTCAGTCCGAGGTTCGTACACTTCTGCTTTCAGGGCTTCGTTCTTGTAGTTGTTCGGGTCCCATTCGAAGAACACGTTCTTACTCTCCTCCTCGTAGTCCTTCCCGTATCTGTAAAACAAGATATTCATTCATTCTGAGAAGATACGGTTATATTATTATATTAACCCTTTGTACTCGAGCGACGTCCGGCACGAAAACTA